TCTCATACAGTTTGGAATGAGTAGCCAACAACGAGATTGGACGCGTCTGATCGCAAGAAGGCGTGCCTGCTTTTAATTTATTAAGCGTAACAATTTTTGCTAACTGCCAAACCTCCGGAAAATGACATTCTTTTAGCCATAATCATTCAATAAATACTGCTGTTACCGTTTCGTTGTGTCCACAGAACATTTTCACGCACCTAGGCGAATATTTTTTCTATATTTAAAGCGTTTGTACAAACAAAGTAACAATCGATACTATAAATTATAAAATGATCATATTTCCAGGTAGTTATGAATCGAACAATGTGAACGTCAACTCCAAAATTCGTAAATATGAATGAGGAAAAAGATTTCGTTAAATTAGCAGAGAAATTTATGGATAATTTGACATCCTTTTTACAGTCTTTTATTAATAGAAATGTAAAGCGAAGCCTTATCAGAATTGTCATTCAAATCTTAATAGATTTTTTTCTACATAGCAGTTTTGTATGTAAAGATTTATCGTATTTATAAGAACAAAAAAATCTTTCAACAATTTATTGGCCTCGTCTTCTCCAATAAATATGTTAATGCCCTTTCATCTTTGCTCTTTAGTATTGGTGCTAATGTTGATTCTATCTGTGCATGATACTCGTTTATCCATTTTCGTTGAGGTTCCGTTAACATTTCGCATATAATAAGCTTCGACTCGAACGGTACCAATGTCAAAATATCAAAATGGAAAAACTTCGTATCTCCAAAACTATAAGTTGTATTTATACTTTTAACAATAACGTCTGTTTCCAGGCGAATACCAAATTTCTCGGGTAAATAAAAGCCGGGCTCGTCTGAGAATACCATGCCATCTGTTAGAGGGACATCTCGAGCACTGTAACCCATTGAAATACCGGCCGGTCCTAAAAAAGGCTAGTTAAGTGGTTATGTGTATTCTAATCGGGAAACTCTAATGTGTATTTTTTAAAAAGTCATTTGAACCATCTCAGGACCGACCTCAAAGTTTTAAATTCGAAGTTCTCGATACTTTGTTCAGTCGTCCAGGAGATAGTTATCTTATACAGTATGCATATGTCATTACCTTCATGAACTGATAAAAAATGTCCGATGCCATGACCTGTACCATGACCGTAGTCCATAAAGTTTTTATATAAAGATCGTCTTGCAAGAATATCAATATTTCTTCCATAGGTGCCAGTTGGAAATACAGCATCAGCTAAATCCGTTGACCCTAAAATATTTAAATAAATATCTCGTTTTTAGTATGAACGTCTTAAGTATATAAAAACGTTGAAAAAAAACGACGAAATGATCTTGCATATGAAGAGAACTTATTATCTTTTATTTTTCAATCTAACTTACCTTGTAGCACCAATGTATATGCTAACTTTTGTTCATCTGTTGGTGTTCCAAATGTATGTGTTCGTGTGATATCGGTCGTACAATCGAGATATTGAGCACCAGCATCAAGTAGATATAATCCTTCTGTTGTAATACGGGCTGCTGTTTCCTTTTTTGGACTATAATGAACAATGGCTCCATTCGCGCCAAATGCCGATATTGTGTCAAAACTGAGCATTTGAAATAGATCTTCTTCTTTTTGATAGTCTTCTAATTTTGATGCAGATTCGGTTTCATTAATGATCGCATTGTTTCCAATTTCTTCGTCTAACCAAGCTAAATGCCGAATGCGTGCAACACTATCTCGTATCGAACAATCTCGAAAGCCTTGTTCTTCAACTGAATTTTTCACCGCCTTTGTGGATTCAACAGGCGATGATTTTACATAGAGTTTGTCTTGTGGTATTCGACTGAATATAGCTTGAGAGGCAATGGGAGAAATCCAAACAGTTTTAGTGGCTGGATTATCAGCTACCGATTTCAAATAAGTTAAGAGAAATGTGTCATATGTATAAATAGCATTGTTATTATTTATTTGCTGCTTTGCTTCGGATGTTAATTGAGTTTCATTCATAAATAAAGCAGTTGTTTTATTAGCAAATACAACTGCATAAGCCTGAAGAGAGAAGAAAAACTATACAACTGTTTAGTATTCTCACTAACCGGCAGTATATCTAACAAATACCGTTCATCTATAGTTAGTGATCATTCTGTCTCAAACTAAAGCAAGTATGCATTGATGATTGGAAACATTAGTTTAATTTACCTTGAAAAACGGATTATAAGGAATATCGCTTCCGCGTAGATTCAATAGCCATGCAATTTCATCCAACGCCGTGACAACATACATATGTGCGTTTGCTTGGTCAACCATCTCTGCTATCTTTTGTACTTTATTAAACCATTCTTCTCCAGCATATTGAAGAGCATGAATAGTTACATCATTCGTGAGTTTTGGTGGACGATTTGTAGTCCAAACTTGATCAACTAATTCATTAACTTCTATTAGTGTAATATTTTTTTCTTTTAACGTAGTCGATGTTGTTGACCACCATGTCGATGAAGCAAACTGACTTGCTACGCCTACTAGTGTATTTTCGTCTAAAACCGTTTTCAACCAGTCCCGAGGCAACGGTACCCCCGGTTGGCCCTGTTTCATTAACTGCCAATTAGCGCAATCAAGTTCATCTTCAGCTTGTATAAAATACCTACTATCGGTCCACAGTGCTGCTTCATTTCGAGTGATAATAGCAGTTCCAGCAGAGCCAAGAAAGCCGGTCATATATGGTCGCCTTTCATCGTATGGTTGAACGTATTCACTTTGATGTTCATCTTCGGAGAAAACAACATAGGCATTGATATTCTTATTTGTTGTAAATAAGTTACGTAAATTGTTTAGTCTTAATGTTGTATTAATTTGTCCAGGTTTGATTGGACAATTAAATGATGTCTGACTTTGAACAAATTGTAAGAGTATCGAAATAGTGAAACAAACTAATATCATTATTCTAACTAAAAATCAGTTCTTGTGCAACACTCTAAAATAAAACATCATAAATAAGCTGCATGAGCTGGTAGCTAATTAGTTGACTACATCGAAAGAAGACAAAAGAAATTATGAGGATTTTAAACATCTTATTTTAAGATGGATAAGAACAACGAGGTCGTATTGACTTGTTAGTCTTATTTTTGATATATTCATCTGTTTTATTGTAGCTGGAGTTAGAATCTTAAAGTAAATATCCAGTCATAATGAGTAGAATCAAAATAGTACCCACTAAGGCACTAAGTTCCCGCAATAGTTGAAAAACTTGACAATTTTTTCTAAAAATTTTCGTTCTTTGTATACAGTAAGTAACACAAAATCAACGAAATGATTGACTTCTCCATAAACTATACAAGTTGCACTGAATCTTACAAAAACAAAATATCCAAAAATACTGATACTGCGCCTATTGCTACTGAATAAAAATAAATAAATCAAAAAATAAGATAGATTGAGATAAGATAAAAATTTTTTACAGTAAGATGTTTGTTAGCATTTACGAATAAAAATAAGTCGCTTTTATGACAAAAGGTGATGATCTAATCTTTTATTTTATTTCTTTTCCTCTTTGTGTTCTGTCGAAGAAAAGTCAGTTCATAAAAAAAAGAAGTAAAATGAAAGATTAGAGTTTTATTTTACTTTTTTGTAAAACTTACATATGATAAACAATAAGTCAAATATGATTTACGATAATATTTGCAAATTCTCTGAATCTTTTTATTGGAAACAAACGATTTACGTTGAGAGTTTTGATAGTAAAAGCAGGGTTGCCTACTGGTTCGCTTTTTGGACTTTTGTCCGCAAGTGTCCGCTGTCCGCTTGTCAGGAATTTTGAAAAATTGTATTTAAACAGTAGTGAACTTCGTTTTTTAGTGAAAATATCTTCACGATGACCCATCCGAAGACGTTTTTGTCTTGTTTAACTGAGAATAGATAATAGCGACCTTAACAGATATATAATCGATGAAAAGATTAAATTTCAAAAGACAACGTGTACAAATGAATATCTACGCTTATTTTTTATGTTGTTAATAAAAATTAATTTATTTTGTACTGTTATGTGAATATGTTTCTCTCTTGTGCGAAAAAAATCTGTGTGACTAGCAAAAGAAAATACATTTAGAATAAAAAAACATGCAGTCCGCTTTTTGCACCTTAGAAATGGTATTCCTGAGTAAAATATAAAATTGTGCTATCAATATTGAGTATTTGAGAGTGAATGAAAATAATAAAGGTTTCAGTTATCGACATTTGCTCATGAGAATGATCAACATCGAGGAGCTGTTGCGTTTTTCTGCGGTAAATTCACCATTGAGATTAATAAATATTCTCATATGTAACCTGCTATCTGTCAAATTCTCTCCTGGTAGCTGTCCTCTAACGTCATCTATTGTCTTCTATGACTGGATGTCAATGGTTAACTACGATAGAGCCGTTCTGCTATTAAACGTTTTTTTACGGTAAATAATCCAAATAATCTAAATGAGTAAAATAATAATTAGATATGATCTACAGGACTGTATGTGTAAAGAGTGACTAGGGATATAAGTACCATCCTAATTTCTAAGATTCGTGTTTTTTGAAAGTGTAAAATTAGTACTTTACGAAGTAAAATCTTCAAACAAACCCATGAAACATATAAATAAATGTTAACTGGATAAATTATCATCACTCTTTTTTCAAGTTCAAGCTACATCACTGGTGATCTGTAACTCAATAGGTTAGTTAAAGTATTGCGACACGTTTGTTCAGATGTGAAAGATGCTAAACTTTTACCGTTCGCAGCAGAAAATTTTCCGAACTCTACTCAGAGATCTTAAATCATCTTGTAATAAGTCCCAGAGTAAAGCGCTGGCTTAAAAGACGAAAGTCTCGGGTGGACACATGAACAACATATCTTTTCTGTCTGTTTTGCTGTATTCCAAATTAATCCTCGGAAAAAATCAGATGTGCACAATATATCCATTTACTCCGCCGACCGTCGAGGGAAAATGTTTAGATTCGGAGAAATATCGTAGGAAAACTTTAAAAAATAGTATTTTTGCTCACAAATAATTGCAGAAGATAATATTTTAACATTACTGAGGATTTTTGAGAAATTTTCTCGTGGGGAAAAGGTTTTCATTCTTACAGGTAGATGCTGCATCTCTAGAAAAAATACGAGGCCGCTTCTATTCAACTTACATATAAAACGTCTCAGAGTTTAATAGTTCTAGAGAAAAAAGTGCATCTAACATATGAGAAACGAATTAGTTCCTATTAAGTGCAGTTGGTCGGTAATTTTACGTCGCTTTGCCTTCTGACAAAATCAACTGTTCACATTTTGCCATACATTTAATTTATCATCTTATAGTATTGCTGATGTGTTGCTATATATGTGTTAAATATATTTTTTCTTTTCTAGATATTGTCTTTTTGCACATCTTTTTCAAAAAAAAAGCGCATTGTCTTTTTTTTGCAGTCAATTCGTTTATGAGTGAACATTCAATTGAGAGTGGTGAACCACTTGGTAAGTTTTCTAAAAACGATGTAAAGCAAAATATGTCTCAACTATATGATGATATTTTGTACACAAAAAACTTTAAGCTAATTTTGAAAGGGAAAGAACAGGCCAAAGTCTGAATATCAGATTAATGTACGGTCTTCATTTAGATGATGACGACTATGGCTCACCTTATTACGATAATTATAACACTGATGAATTTCTAAATGATGATGATTATGACGATCCGAACAATAATACGTGCTGGGGTGATGCAGAGCAATTTGTTTATTTTATTTCTACTTTATCAGAAATGAAAACACGTTTAAAGCAGATTCTAAATGAATTATCACAACAATTAAATGTAGGTTATTCAACTGAAGTCAAGTAGTAATCACTTTACCGGTTTTATTTCAGCTTGAACCATCTATAGTTGAATTATTGTTATTTCTTCGTCATTGGGATATAAACAGTATACTAACAGAGTATGTAAAAATAAAACATAACACTAAATATCTGTTCAAAATGTTTGTTATGCGTTTAGTTACAGACTACGATCACATTTATTGCTGGAAGAAGCTCGAATTCAACCAAAACACCATGATGTTATATTTGTACGTGTAAAACATTTTTTCCTTCAAGTTATTTAATATCTCGTTTTTAGAAATCGAACAACCACTCATCATCATCCCCACAATCAACGTCATTAACGTGTATGATTTGTATGAAATCTTACCTAAATAAAAATGATTTTGAATCACTAGCATGTAAACATTTATTTTGTCACGATTGTTGGTGTCAATATATAGATATGAAATTCAAAAATGGCCACTGCATGAGTATGCATTTTTCTGCAAAAACGTTTAAGCAAGTATTGATATTCCTTTATCTTTTTAGACATAGAGTGTATGAAATGTGACATACGTGTACCACATAATTTTGTTCTTCAACATTTACTATCAGATGATGCAAAAGAACTATATGAAAAATTAACATTAAAACAATTGTTCGATGTAAGTGCTTCATATTAACGTTTCAATTGATGACTTACCGAATGTTCTTTTAGAGTAATCCACAGTTAACATTTTGTCCAGGAACATGTGAACGTATATTTGAAGTAAAAGATAAACGATTATCGGGAAGAGTTGATTGTGAATTATGTGGATTAAAATTTTGGTAAAATTTTGAAAATAATTTATTTCGCGTTATTTATATATTTTTGTGTATTTCTTGCAAAAAAATAGCTTTCAGTGTAAACTTGACTATCACGCTCCAGCTAGTTGTGATATAATGAAAAATTGGTTGACAAAATGTCGGGATGACTCTGAAACAGCAAATTACAGTAAGTCATTCGTCATTTTCTTGAAATACTATAACGATAAGTTTGTATTATTTTTAGTGTTTGCAAATACGAAAGATGTACGTTTAAAACGAAAGAGATATAATGATGAATCTTGATTTCATGTTTTTCTCTAGTGTCCGAAGTGTCGCGTGTGCATAGAGAAAAATGGCGGATGTAACCATATGGTAGGATTTTTTTCTCTTTCACTCACTACACATGTGTTAACCCGTGTCATTTTAGTCTTGTTTTTCGTGTAATCATCATTTTTGTTGGATGTGCCTTGGAGGTAAGATTTACCATTATTAGGGGCATTTTTGTTATAAATTATTTGTTTCATCTTATTAAAGATTGGAAATCTCATGAAAATAATTATTATGAATGTAGTAAATATCGTGGTCAGCCACAATCTCAATTAGAAAGTGAACAAAGTCGAGCACGTGAAGCGCTAAAGAAATATTTACATTATTTTGAACGTGTAAGCTTTCTAAATCATTTTATTATGTATTCTGTTATATCTCAATGCAATGAATGCGTCTCCACAGCTCCTTATGACCCGGCCCCATTTAGCTTTTAATATCTCCAAAAGCCTACTTTGTGCCACATTAATATGCACGATATGAAACAGTCATTCTGTTTTTTCAACTGTTTGTTTATTCTTATACATGGCTTTTTTCTTCGATAACTTACTTTCATCTATAAAACTCAGCACATTAACCATTGGAATTTCAGTCGAGTGTGAATCTTAATATGTCTTTTCTTTACTTCTATACGTAATGAAAATGTAAGAAGCAAGTATGTACATGATAAATCATCATTTTTAAAGCATAAATCTCAGTCTTTTGACTAAGACACACTTCACAGAGTTTCTTATAGCTCGGTCAGAAGCCACTTTCTCTAAGTCATCCTTTTCATCCTCGAGCGTCACTCGCACTTAAGATCTCATTTTGAATCTCTGTTCCTGGGCTTTTCTCCTCCCCTTCTCTCAATCTCTTTGTTTTATAGTGGGATAATCATGAACGAAGTTTAAAGTTAGAAGAACAAACAAGAAGTAAATTGTTAGAAAAAATTGATAATAATATTAATTCACAAATTGGTACATACATTGATTGGCAATATTTAGAGCAAGCAGCTGATTCATTAGCCAAAGTAGGTTAAAAATTGTATACATATGAAATGTGCATTTTAATACTTTACAGAAACAGAGAATGTTTTGTTCTATTGTAGGCTCGTTATACGCTTATGTACACTTATCCTTATGCGTACTATCTTGAAGATACTGTAGATCGAACTTTGGTAAGATTTTATCAGAGTTAATTAACTTTTTTTTATTTAATCGAATATTTATTTTCATGCAATAGTTTGAAAATATTCAAGCCCAATTAGAAGTTGAAATTGAAAATCTATCCTATCAAATTGAACGAGCCACGTCACATAATCGAGGCGTACGTTATTAAACTTGCACAGCCAATAACTTAAGTTACCAATTATCTTTTGTTCTAGGATATTGAAAATCAACGACATATTGTTGAAAGACGTCGTCAAACATTACTTGTTAAATATTTTCCAAAATGAGAATATTAACAATGAGTATCATCGATAGCAATTAGTGTTTATACAATCGAGTTTATTTGGAATGAATGAATAGTGTTCAGTGAGAGAGTAGTCAGAACTTAATGTTCATTTTGATACATATCGCATTAATCTCATCTCTATTTTTCGGCTTTTCGTCGTACTCTGAGAAGGAGTTCCTTTGTATATTTGTTTTTTTTATAATTTGTTATTCTTTTTGAAAAACGCAAACTTACGATCATTTTTATGTATTTCTGCATTTTTAAAAAAAAATCAATAGCAGAAAATTCCTTATTTAGAATATTAATTGTGATTATTAATACAAACTAAAAGTAATGGTTTAAAAGCAAATATTCTGATGAACATTTTACACAATACGATAAGTCTACCTTTTCCCGGTGCTAATCAAAAACAGTCAAAAATCTGGTGTCGTTTAACCAGTTTTATTATTGAGATTATTAGAAAGTGAATCATCCTTATACGTCTTCACTTAGCTACTTTTTCGATTGAAAGATTATACGTTAACAGTATCCCTCATGACTGTTGAGTATTTGCTACCGTTTAATTACTGTTTTTTATTAGGTTTTAGATGCCGTATATAATGGTTCATCAATAACAGAAAATATTGTCATCAACTTACTATATAAAGAATTCTAAATTTGCATTTTAATAATTTATTTTGTATTATTTTAGTTTAAGATGGATCGTGAACCATGGTAAAGATTTTCTCATGCTTTGTGATAAATTACATGAATATATACGATTGTTGTTTTAGTCCTTGGCGTATAGTTGACGATTGTGGTGGTGCTTTTGCATTGGGAACAATTGGCGGTTCATTATTTCATTCGATAAAAGGATTTCGTCATGCACCAAGTGGACAGTACCGTCGATTATTAGGAAGTCTGAATGCTGTTAAACAACGTGCGCCACGTGTGGGAGGTAAATGTAAATTTATTTATTTTTATCCTCCACAATCGAAGTATATTCTGTTTTTAGCATCATTTAGTGCATGGGGAGCAATATTTTCGACCGTTGATTGTAGTTTTGTTTATTTGAGAAAAAAAGAAGATCCATGGAATTCGATCATGAGTGGTGCATTTACAGGAGCTATTTTACAAGCCAGACGTACTTATATGAGATTAGTGCTACTGCTTAATCTCATTATCATCATATTTTGTTTTTTCAGAAGGACCATCAGCAATGTTGGGATCTGCTGTGATTGGTGCGTTTATATTAGCAATGATTGAAGGAACGGGTATTCTTATTAATCGTTATTCACAAATGCTAACGGCACAACAACCACTAGACGGAGGTAATCAATGAAAATTATCCCAAGAATCTACGATTTATCAGACATACTCTATGCAAATATATGATCTGAGTGTGAATTGCCGTTTTCATCGAAAATTATTCCTTATTTTTCATGCTAATTGTAGATTTTGTTTATTTAATTTATAGGAGAACCAATGGATCCTGACAAGGGCAAAGTTGATATTCAAATGCCACAATTTTTTACCGGACAACCATCATCACCCGGACAGTATTCTTAAAAAAATTTTTTTTTTCACTTATTTTTGTCTGTAATTCTGTTCTCATGTGCTTCGATTTGAAATTTGTTGATGATTACTCTTGAAATGACTGATGTTATTTTTCTTGTTATGACTGTTCGAACGTTTGTGTATGTGTGTTTTTTATTCTTATACACTTTATTGTTTTTGATAACAGTTTTCTTCAAACATATTTTTTTCCATAAAGCGCACGTAAAAAGAACAAAAAAACGATTACTATTTATTTTTTCAGCCTATTTTTAAAAATCTTCAATGTATGTGTGAGTTCAGAAATTATACACGCTTTCTAACGTGTGTATACGTGATTGTGTTTGAGAAAAGAAAAAGAATATAATATTTCCAAATCTTGACAGAAATAAAACAAAAGGTTTTATCAAAATAACATTGTTAAATAATAATTCTTATCAAATCAAACTTTCAGTTGAAAAGGTCTGTCTCGATTATTTGTTATACTCTTATCCATATTTTTGATAATCATAGTACAATAGTTATCTCGTATTTTCATAACAAAAAATCTGAGTAACTCATGGAAGTCTATGATTCTTTTTATTATTATATGAAACGTAGTGAATTGAATCAGCTTTGTCTCATTCTTTATCTTGTACCGTTGATCATCAGTGAATTTACTGATCCAAATTTAAATTTAAAAATAAAGTGCTGTAATTTGAGATGTCCGGAAACAAAATGAAATCTGACATTTGAATTGTAACAAAAGAATGCAGAAAAAAATCGAGAAATTTGCAAAGTAATCTTGTCGAATCCGTAAGAAAAAAGTTCCGTTTAAATTATTATGCCTTTAAATTATAGTTTTGCTTCAAATACATCAGTACTTCTTGTTTAACAAAATCTCATTTTATATTCTTCCAAGCGTCTTTAACTGTACCAGTTCGATAGTTTAGCAGTTACACTTAACTGCTTTTTAACTGTAACTGTTGTATATCTAATAACGAGTGCGCCATAATGAATAAGTTCCCAAGGGAACTTTGGAAAACAGCGTCGTGCCTGAAGAATAGAAATACTCAATAGATGTTTGATTCATCTTTTCTAATTTTGAATAGATATTTGCAGATTTTACCATATTTCAATACAAACTGTTCAAAGTCTTTATCTATGCATTTTTTTCTCAAAGCGCTTAAATTTTTTTGTTCGAATATCATTTGACAGATAAAAACCAAATGGCTCAAATTTGTGCTCCTATTCGCCTAATCTTTTTATTGTTACTCTAATAAAGTAACTGCTATTCAATCTATGAGATTTTTAGTAAGAGACTTCATATCACCGGAACAAAAAAAATAAAGTTGGTTTAGAGTTGCTGAAAAGTGATTTTTCGTATTCATCACACTCGATAACCCAGAAGATTTTCTATTTTTGGCTCGTGGTACTTCCGAAAGCTTAAGAAAAATTTTGAAACAAAATGGCGCAAAAAGTTTTCCATGGAAAGATAATATTAACTTGAAAACTTTTCCTGAACTTTCGGAAGTACCTCGGATCAAAAACAGAAAATCTTCTGGGTTATCGAGTGTGCTGAATACGAAAAACCACTTTTCAGCAACTCTAAACCAACTTTATTTTTTTTCCGGTGATATGTAACAAAAATAAACTTTCCGGATTGTATGCAGAGTTGCCAGGTGTTTAGGTCAGAAAAGCGGAAATCTTTTCAAAATGCGGAAAAAAAGCGGAAACACATTTTGGACGCGTATTTTTTATCACCCGTCATAAATTTCAAGAGTTATGTATGACAGGATAAAATTTAATTCAAAACTTTCCCGCCTATGACAGTACTTAATGGTTAAGATTTTCTGATCAAGCTGGGTTCCTTGAAGGTTTAGTATTTCACTATTTTTCACACTCGTTTTCAGCAGCACTTGAGACAAGCTAATGTTTTTTTGTTAACGCTCACTTCTGGGGCAAATTTCTGATTTAGTTTCCAAAACAGTGCGCATCTGTTTTATAAAAGTTGCAAAACCATTGTTTTGTTTTGACAGGTTATGCAAATTTTTTATGAAAAAATATAAAAATCTTCATTGCAGAAAAAAGGACAAAAACAAAAAATCTTCGAAAAGCGGACAAATTGTGAACAGCGGACACTTTGTGGAATAAACGACAGAAAGTGGAATTTGTCCGCAAAATACGGACCATTTGGCAACTCTGATTGTATGCCTCTGCACTATTAATAGCTAATCCACTGTGACCAGTGCGTGGTATGGCGCGTCATCTGTATTTCGATGATATTACTAGTTAGTTGATAAGCGAGTCCAAAGGCTTGAATGACAAAGAAAAAAAATACTATGACAGAATTTCAACGTCGTTCGTCAGTTTGTTAGTACGTTGTATTGGCACTTTTTTTAAAGACTTTTTTATAATGTATATGAAAAGACTTTTCGAATTTAAAACACGATTGTAGACATTTGATCTAAAACGTACCGAAAACCTTGTAGTTCGTAGACCGTAGTAAACAAATAAAACTTTCTACTGGAAAACAATCAGATTTGATTCATCTCTAGGTCTTCATGAAAATAATTCGTTAACAGGTTGTTTAACTAGTCTGAGTAACGTTCATTTTTCGATCTTACTTATTATAGTTTTTATGCGAGAACGAATTTTCTTTGTCTATTTAAGATCCTGTAAATAACGATGAAAAAAAATATTACAGTTGAACTAGTTCCAATTTCCGACGGAAATCGTGTAACATTGCGAGAAGAGAAAACGATTGTTGGTCGAGGCTCGTCTCTTGGCGTAAATATAAGCTGTTTTGTCTGACGTTAGATGCAATGTTGTTATTCTTCTTTTATAGTGTGATGACAAGAAAATTTCTCGAAATCATGCTGAAATATTATTGAAAAATGATGACTCTGTTTTCATTAAGCCAACCCATGTCAATCCTGTGTTTTATCGAAAAAATGGTGGACGTACTTTGACATTGACGAAAGATGTTGAGCAACAATTGTTCGATAATGATGAGATTGGTTTGTTGCCGTCCACAGTCAGTATTTATCCTTCATGCATCTAAACCCTGTATAGTAATATTTGACTGTTTTAGTTTTTTTTTCGTGTTCATATCAAATCAAATGATGAACCTCTATCGACTGATGATAATAACAATGACAATCTGAGTTTGTCATCAACGGTTAATGAGAAAGAGACAAAAATGAAATCACCAGCAGCTGCAGTGTCACCATCAACGATAATAAAAACACCTACAAAGCGAACTTATCATAAAGTATCCGACGATGAAGATGAACAGAATTTGGATAATGAACGATCTGTAAAAAAGTCTCGAGCCAATAGCGACGATGATTATAAAATAGATTCAAATCAAAATGACGAAAATAAAACTAAAACAGATAGTTTTATGGATACGACAGAAATACGACATGTTGAACAAATTATCGATGATCAGGTGAATTCGACAATACAAAAAAATGTAAATATACGTTCAAGGAGCCCAGATGCTATACCAAAATCGAATGGAATTATTCATCGTGTTACCACTGATGATGATGGTAGATATAGCAAAGATGTATGTTGATTTTTGTTATCTCATCACTCTTTTTATTTAATGTATAGTTTCTATCCTTCTGTAATGAAAGAAAGATTTGTTATAAATCTTAAATATTCTGTATAATCTTGTTATGAAAAATTTCCAGTAATCCAGTGACCTTCATTTCGATTAGAGGTGTGCGTTTACAGTGGGGGAATCAATTTCTTTTTTAGTGTTTCTGAGTCAATATCATTCTGTGCATTAATTCTTAGTTTATGTATTTAGCGTGATCAAACCAATCGTGTAAGACGATTACCTGCTTGGATGACTAATACTCCAATTCAAACATCCAAGCCAGATCCAATAACACCATCAAAATCTCGAGTCGAATCAACAACGCCATCGAAAGTGAAACCACAAACACCATCGAAAGTGCAACCATCAACGCCATCGAAAGTGCAACCGTCAACGCCATCGAAAGTGCAACCATCAACTCCATCAAAAGTTCAAATAACAACACCGTCAAAGGCTCCAGCAACAACACCTTCGAAAGTTCAACAGACTACACCATCAAAACCTCGAGTTGAACCAGATCAGAGAAGTAAATACTGTTAATATTAACTGCTCTTTAAATCTATTATCATGCCTTTCAATCTAGAAAGCAATATCAGTGATCGATCAGTATCATTTCATGATGAATTTATGTTTGATGATGATGAAAATGTATCGCTTAAACATAGTAAGAGAAAAGATTTTGCTTTATTACCATGCAACATTATGAAAGAAAAATTCTTGTTGGAAAATATTATCTCATATTTCTACTTTTAGTAAATAATAAACCGCAACCAACAGTGTCACAAAACGGAGTAACATCGAAACAAATGAGCCCCTCTGTTACTACAAACGTTTCCAATGGCTTCGATATTGACGATGATGATGAGAAAATAGATAATAATGGTACATTTTGAGTATAGTAGTTGAGTATTTTAACATTCTTGATGGTTTTTTGTTTATAGAGAAAAAGATTTCGAAGAATAAGCGTCCAGGATGTAAATTTGGAAAAAATTGTTATCGGTATGAAATTTTCTACCAGCGTTACTGTGCAAAGTACAACTAAAAATTGTTTATATACGTATTTTAGAAAAAATCCGGCTCATCGTCAAGAACTTTCTCATCCAGGTGATTCAGATTTTGAAGAAGATGAACCAGCGCAAGATGTTGGAAGTAAACCAATGTGTCCTTTCGGTGCCTCTTGTTATAGAAAAAATCCACAACATATTGAGGATTATTCGCATTAAATAAAAACACATTTTGACTATATTTGGCTGTATCTCTTTTCTGTCAACTTTATTTGACTTTTCTTTAAACTATTAGATTCAAAAATCTTTTAATCTCTTTTTCTTTGTATAATCATGTTAGTTTCCTTTTTTTCTTAGTGCAAACCAATTCCAAACAGATAGACCGGTGACAGGGTCTTTATTGAATTTTTGTGATACTTTACTCTTTTCTTCGTTCATGATATTGTGTACTATATATTAATTAGTGTTCTTATTAGTAAATAGATAGAGCTTTTTGAAGTAATAGATTTTATTCTATTCGATAAACTCTAGCATTGAAATAATTACTCACCAATTCTAGCGGTTATGGTGCTATAAAACAACATTTAAAAACATATGTGTGGTAGCTTATTAAGACTGACTTGATGTGTTTCTCGACAGATTAGAGATCTTTATTTGTCCTTAGCAATGAAATTTTTTAGGTATAATCCACGTATTGGAATTTACAGCCAACAATCGAATTATGTAATCATTTTTTGCATGCGGTAGTGTATTTTTTTACTGCGTTTAAGATAAAATAAAATATTGAATGAAACAATGGCACAAACAAGCGTCATCGAGCTAATTCCAATTGATAAAGGAAATCGTTTGAAATTAAACACCGGAAAAATCGTGGTTGGACGCACCCCGGATGTTGGATGTATTGATAAAAAAATATCTCGTAATCATGCTGAAATAATCTTAAAAAACGATGGAAATTTGTTCATTAAACCGATTCATCATAATCCAGTATTTTTTAAAACAAAAAATAATAAAGTTGTTTCATTAACAAAAGACAAAGAACATCAGTTATTTCATGATGATCAATTTGGTCTTTTGCCAGACAACTATTTTTATCGTGTTAATATAATCGTTGCGAACTCACATGATAATAAAACAGATGATTCGTCATTTTCACATGAAACTGATGCAAACATCACCAATCCAATGGATATTTCTGATTCTAGACCACATGAAGATAATCCTAAATCACCAATTCTTGGTGCAGTGAACGAATCAGATATAACAAATGAAAAACAAGATGGTTGTAACAAATCACTTATTATTGGTGCAGTGAACGAATCGGATATAAATGAAAAACAAGATGATTGTAATAAATCACCTATTCTTGGAGCTCACTCGGCGAGATTTTTTGATAATAACAATCCTTCGCTTGATGAGTCACCGCCAGTTACCAAGTCGTCTCCAAAAAAACGTTACCATCGATTATCCGATGATGAAGACGAGATGGATCAAACAAAGAATTTAAGTTTGGTTAAAAATGAAATTGATTCACCACAAAAGCAAACGATTGGGAACACTATACATAATCATACTACATCAAACGACGACGAAAAAAAAAGTTCAGATGTTGAGCGAAAGCCAATTAAACAGGATGTAAATATATTTTCTGTTTGCTCTTGATTCGTGCTCTATTTTCATAGTCAATTTAGATTTCTGCATCAAACGAAAATTCTGGTGTCATCTATAATACGCCACGAACCTTACCGTCATGGATGAGTAGTTCAGAGCCTCCACCATCATCAAAGACAAAAGCGAAACCAAAGACAACAGTACCCCGTACAAAGACACAACCACGTATGTTCAACATTTTACATATAAAATAAATATAAAATGATAAACTTTTTACTCTTATTTTAAACAGCCAAAACAAGTCGAAAATCAAAAGAAATCACCTATGATGATGGTGACAGCGATGAACAAGTAGCAAAAAATGAAGACGTTAAAGGTTTATTGCATTTTCCTATTTATCATACTTATTTTCAATGTTGTTGTTTTTTCCGTTCAGAAAGCAAACAACCAGTGGTGGTCACTACAAAACAGTCATCTCAAAATGGAACACCTGGTATACTTAATTTCTATTTGTACCAGAGTCCGAGGTCTCAAGTCGACATTCAATTCGACTTTGTGTCGAATCGAACCGAATTTGATTTTTACGCACAAACTATCTTTTATTTTTACTATAATTCATATTCGAAAGCTCTAGTCACATGAATAACATGTTCTGCTGAAGTGTTCGAGCTCGCGACAGTATATTTTAAACAAACATTTGAAAGCAAAAGAGAAGCAAACTTTAATTTGCATCGGAATGAATTGAATCGAACTAGGATTTCAAAATGTTAACCCGAATCGAATCAGATTTTTTTGATTCGTTTTGGGCTCTGATTTGCAAAGACTCTTTCATCAAGGAAAAGCTTTTTTTCATAAATCCAGATGAGTCAAATTTTGTATTTAGATTCTGATGATAAAGAACCATCTCCAAAGAAAAAGAAGCGTGAATCGTGTACATATGGAAATAATTGTTATCGGTACTTCATGTCTGTCCTATTAAAAACATTTTTATATGCATGCTTTCTTTTCTTCCTTAGAACAAATCCACTTCATCGTCAGCAAGTATCTCATCCCGGTGATTCTGATTATGAAATGGGCAGTGATAATAATAATAACACAAATACAGCAGATAATAAACAAAAACCATTGTGTCCGTACGGTAGTGACTGTTACAGGTATAGTGAATGGAAAACAAATGTATTAAATATTTGTTTTTGAAAAGTAGTAACTGTTGGCGAAAGTAGTATTTGGTTCTTGCTTTTATTTATTTTACAGAAAAAATGCTGCTCATTTCAAAGAATTTCGCCATAATTCAACGAAAACACGTACATCAGCTACAGGTCGAACATCGAAGCGGAAGAGTATCGATGAAGAAGATCTTGATGAACCAAACGAGTATGATTTTGATGACAGTTTTATTGATGATCAGGGTATCTCACAAGATAGTAACGGGCGAGACAGGCATATAGGTAATGTTTTAAAAGATCGTTTTAATTTACAAACTGTTTGCTTATAATCATTTCATTGTAGATTCAAGTTCAGATTCTGAAGATGAATGGAAACCGTCAGACAAAGCTAAAGGACAAGAATCCGATAGCGATGTGGATGATGATGATGTTGAAACGTTGAAAAAAGAAGCAGCAGCTTTTCTTAAAAATAAAAAGCTTCAATATCCACATGCTTCATCGTCAACGCAAAAAACAAGTCATCATGTCGTAAAAGATGAAGATGAAGATTGAAACTTTTGTGTTTATTATATTCTCTAATTTTCGTTAATCTTTTGTTGTATATGTGATGTTGTCCTATTCAATATAATTTTTCTACTGAGTTCTTTATTCGTTCATTCGCTTAATTTATAATCTTGGACATTTCCTATATATTTTTTAAACTGGTCCATCTCTTCTATTTTTCTTGTGTATTGTGTGACATTTCTGTCGTTTTATAATACATGTCCATGTCGCGCTTCTTTTCAGTGCAGCTTCTCATTTAAAATTGTATATTAAGCAAAGAATTAAACTGTAGTTTATAAAAACAATATTGTAATAAAGATTGATATTTTAGTCGTAAATTTGCTCAAAGTAGATCCGACGGGGAGGTCCACCAACTTATAAATCGTTTTCCAGTCAAAACCTAATTGACTATAGGTAATCAACCATGCTGATTCCGAATATCATCATGACTGCTGCTGCTAGGTCTTCAAAGATCGGTTTTCTGGAAAACCAGTTTTTTCGAAACTTTAAAAAATAACCAAAACCTTTTCTTAATGTTGCATGATTGTAGCCCGCACATTTCTGATTAAAATGAGACGTCCCCCAGCTCTACACGACCTTTCTTTGCAAAGTTATAGAATTTACAAGAAGCCATGAACGTTCATTGTCAGCTCAAAGCTACAGAAATAAGAAATTAATGTAGGGCTTTTCTTGTAAATTCTATAACTTTGCAAAGAAAGGTCGTGTAGAGCTGGGGGACGTCTCATTTTAATCAGAAATGTGCGGGGCTACAATCATGCAACATTAAGAAAAGGTTT